AGGCGGCTGCGAGGGGAGCGCGGGTGTGGTCGTGTGGAACGCCGTTAGAGGGGATAGGGCGAATGAATCGATTGAGTAGGAGACTGGGACTGGGAGAGGGGATCTCACCGTGCTGCTGCGGCGTCGGCCATGGCGGCGGCGGCGCGGGTGTCCGTCACTCCGTCCACCGTCCTGGGTGTGGTTTGCCTGTTTTTGTTTCGCTAGAAGCGTGGACTGAAAAGTGGCCCCAACACGCTGCTGGGCTGAAAAGTGGACCGGGCCTCACCTACACTCGGTGCGGTCTGAAAATAGCTCGCGACCCATTACACCAACAGATTCTAGTGCACCAATTTCAGCCCAATACGTACGGCAAGAGTGTGAGTTTAGACCATGGCTTCCAAAGGTACAGCTCCAACTTCGTCTTTCCTTTAAAAAAAATCATCTTTGTGACGGTATGATTCGATTTACTGTAGTTTTGAATTGTTTGACTGTATATTTTCTATTGGTTTCTCCTCTCTAAGTGACTCACTTCACTACTACAAAATCCGCCTTTAACCTTGGAAAATCCCTTCACACCAGGATCTAGAACCAGGACTACTAAGGGCTCAGTTCGGTTCTACAGAGGAATTGTTCTAGCTAATCAAAGATTATATAAATTAGCCAAGCAATCAGGGTAGGAATTGTTCCAGGGAATGATTCCCTAGCAACCGAAAGAGCCCTAAAGCAGGTTTTACTTCGAGTTTTGCACCAACCAGCATCATGTACAACAGCGTGGAAGTGAATCTCTCCTTTTGTATTTATTGAAAATAAGATTTTAGGTCGTAAATGCAGTCTTATACGATAATGTAAACAGTCATTTTAACCTACACTGTGTCACTCAACATTAATGGAGTGAGATCTAGAATTAATTAGATAGTATTCTCTCCGTTCACAAAAGAATAGAATTATATGATTTGTGCAAGTCAGACTAGCTTAATTTTAATCAAGTTTATAGTGAATAGTATTATATTTGTATCTAACTTATTTTACTATAGAAAATATTTCATAATTAATTTAATGACACACATCTTGTATCATAGCTCTGGTCAAACTTAGAATCATTCGTCTCCTCGGAAAAAATAGAAATTGCATCTTTTTTGGGATGGAGAGAATAGGCCTAACGTCAAAAGGATACCAATAATAGGCCTAATAATAAATGTTTACTCTTAAAGGGTATTTGGAATACCATGAAAGTCATAGCCACCTTTGGCCTACACTAACCACCTCCACTTATAATTATGTTTATAGTATTGCTTTGTTATAAAGAAAAAAGAGTACTTACCAATGGCAAATGTTTCAATTAAAATATATAAATTTGTCTAAAGTAACAATTTTAATTATATGCCATGGATATTAGTATAATTCATATGAGTCGTTAAGGGAATGTTTTCCATGACTGATGAACACATAACATATATATATATATATCCTCCTACATGCATGTATGTGCACTTGATCAACATGATGCAACAAGATATATGTTTGCTTTGATCAGCTTTTAGGATATTAATATTAATAGAAGTGGACCATTTAAAAACATATATACATGTAATTTATGATTGTTGACGTATATGTAAACTTAGAAGGTTACTTAGATTATCTATCGTAATGGCAAGTGGGTCATAGATGTAAAGGAAGCTAGATTGCATTATGTTTCATCATAGTGGTATTGATGGATATTTTAGATATATCAGGGGTTAACTTTATATTGTTTTTCATAATAATAGAGATGGGTAATTATTTACTCAGAAAACATTGTAGACTAATGGCTATTATTGGTTGTAGTGATCAGAGTCTACCAAAATGGGTGTGTTATTTTCTTATTTTTGCTATGAATTAATAAGTTTTACATATTCTCTAGTGCGTTTGTGAGTATTAACATGGAGGCTCCATAAGGATCTTTAGTTAGTAATATTAAGATATGTCTACTCTAAAGGGACCGTGACAGCTTGGGTGGGTCACTTTAAAACTAAGACAAAAAAAAACACTTGTAAAAATGGGTGTTTGGCTCGGCTTCTGCTTCTGTTTTCGAAAAGCAGAACGTCAACCAGACCGTGTGGAACCTGAAACCGCTGTTTTTTTTTTGAAAGCAACAGCTTTCGCGAAGCTCAATTTTTTAAGCACCTTGGATCCGCTTTGGGGTTTTAACTTTTTCAAATGGATGAAAGTAGAGAGATGTTTCATAGTTGTTTCAATAGAGATACAGATAGGGATAAATTTCATAGTTATTTCAACCAAAAATATCTTACGACTTTTCTACAACCGCATAGATTATAGCAGTTTTTTCATAACTCACAACTCATCACAGTCACTAACCCTCTTTACACTGGATTACTTGCTACTCAGATTCTGGATAAGTTCCGAGAAGCACAGGTACACACAGTACCGAGGAGGTGAAGAACACTTTGCCACCACCGTCGTACAACTCCTGTGGAGAGAAATAATAAGTATCAGCGAGAATAAGGGCGTGTTTAGATTCAAAAAATTTTGCGCAGTATCTGTCATATCGAATCTTGCGGCACATGCATGGAGTACTAAATGTAGACGAAAAAAAAACTAATTGCACAGTTGGGTGAAAAATCGCGAGACGAAACTTTTAAACCTAATTAGTCCATAATTAGACACTGATTAACAAATACAAACGAAATACTACAGTGCGTCAAAATCTAAAAATTTTTGGATGTAAACGGGGCCTAAAGGGGAAGAGAATCGAATGGATCGCCAACTTTTCCAACCCGCTCTTGCGCAGCGGCTGCAGGGAAAATTTATACGCCCTGTACAACAGGTAGCTGCCCATGCATTTACCCCTCCATTCCAGAGAAGACAAGCGCTAGCGGGAAAAAGCAAAGCGCCTATCGGCTCTCGAGTACAACACCACCACAAGGACGCCGCGCGGTTCATCGATCGGGTTAGCAGTTGAATGGTGTAGTGGGCGCCTGAACTTAACTGAAAGGCCGGAGGACAAGGTTTTTACTGCCTGAATTATGGGATGCAGCTGTGACATCATCACACCAGTATTAACAGCCCGGCTGTGCGTGCGTGTGTGTTCGGCGGACCTCATGTGCTGATCTGGTGGTAGTCCACCACACAGTCACACACGAACTTCGTTGATTATTCCTGTAGTGGAAGGAAAGCCGGTTCGTTTTATAGCTGGTTCGTGAAGAAGTACTGCTGCTTGATTTGTATGAGAAAAAAATATTATTTCGGCTAAAAATTTACGATCATTTACGACAAGCCACAGTCAAACGAACAGGCTGCAGATCACCATCAGACTAGCTGCACTGCATGGTGGGTGTATTACTAGCAGCCTAAACGAACGGCCCACCGGTCGGAGATCTTCCTCGATCGATGCTTAGGCCGAGGCATCGGACTGCTGCCCGCTGTTCTCGTTGGCCAGCCCACAGGAGACAGGAGCTTATCGGCTTTGTTTCTCAGCTCCAAAAATAATAGAGGAAACGTTAAAAAAAGAGATTTGGTGAAACAATGCTAGCTGATTCATGATCATGCTCGGCATATGCAGCGACAGACACGTTCAGACGTTCTCCTTTTCGGTTCCGGAAGCATGCATGACGCGTGAAATCGGGCTGAATATTCCCGGTGAATCTATTCCCCCGCGCTCTACACAAACACAAACGATAGCTGGGCTAGCTAGGGCTATGCTAGCTGCATCACTGCTCTCTGCTGCTGCTCGGACTGACCACACATCTCATTCCTCTTCAGGCCAGATTGTAGATTGTTTTTTTTCGCTCTCTCTATATCATATCAAATCTTTAGACACATGCATGGAGTATTAAATGTAGAATAAAAAAATAACTAATTACACAGTTTGATTGTAAATTACGAGACGAATCTTTTGAGCCTAGTTAGACCATGACTGAACAATAATTATCAAATACAAACAAAAATGCTACCGTGCCAAATATTGATTCTAACTCTGATCTAAACAAGGCCCCACTCATCTCGCAACTCTGTCTCCGTCACCGTACCGTGTCACATCCCATAAAATTTTCTCCCTCCTCCCGGCCGGTCGCCGGTAGACGAGACCTCTCCCTCGTCCCTCCCTGTGCTTTCAATATCAACAGAAGATGGATGTAGCAGTAGTGTACACTCCATCCGCCACTAACCTCGGTGTATATCAAACAGAAGATGTATGTAATTTATATTTTCTACTTATCGTATGTATTGGTGTATAGTGGCACTTTAATTTGTTCAGCATAAGAAGAATTTATGTTTCAAGCTTCAGTCACTATTGCAGAGGCAGGCTCAAACCGTAGATTCACCGGTGGTTATTAAGTTGGTACGCTGGTATTTATACCTGTCGGCCTCCCACGGACCGACTGTACATGTCGGCATCTGGAGGGCCGACAGGATAGACGACGGGGTATTTTGGTGGCATGTATGCCTATCGGCTTCCGACGGACCGACTGGACATGTCGGCATTTGGAGAGCCTACAGGGTCGGTGCGCCGCGTATGCCTATCGGCTAGTGAGAGGCCGATAGGATGCTATATGTCAATTTTTTATATAACAGCTTTTGGATTTGCAATTAATCATTAAATAATATTATTTAAAAAAATCGGAATTCCAGAGGGGGAGCCTCTCCCTCTCTGTCCGTCTCTCCGCCATTCCTGAGCTTATGAGCTGGGCTTGCTTCATTCCTGAAGCAGGATCATGAGCAGTTCGGGCAAGAGTATGCGTTCCTGTCTCGAAGAAGCGGACGAGTGTGTGTTCGAGATGGACTCCGAGCCACCATCAGCACCACAAGCCATCGCCATGCATCACCAAAGTCCATACCACATCTTGGAGGTTTGATTGGTTCATCTCATCATCTGCTTCTACAATCTCTAACTATGTGGGGTTTTGTTTCGCCATTGCTGATTCAAACCTTTGTTGCATTACTCTGTTTGCATCTGCTACATACATATAGTCAGGGTATCGTTGAGCCTAGCACACAAGTGGAGATTGAGCTAACATGAGAGGGCCATGAAGCACGTGAGAGAGATCGGGGAGGAGAGGAAGAGGAGCAGCTTGAAGAGGAGGCTGATGATGAGGCTCAGGAAAGACGGCTACCATGCGTCCCTCTGCAGGTCTTCTTGGGTTGCCACCACTGAGCACCCGGGAGGTAATGTGATGTGATCATCACTCTTACTACACGTCTACACACACTTACAAGTTTCAGCTGAATGAACTGATGGTAGTTTGCTTAGTTTCTCTGGCGATAATAATATAGCATCCACAGTATATATATGCTCCTCTCTTCTTCTTTACCATTTTTGTCCTTACTTGCTCTTCTTATAAACTTCTAAAACAGGGGCTGGGCTGCCTGCAGAAAATGCTGCCATGGAGCAGCATGTTTCTTCTTTTGGTATGAAAATACTTCCCAAATTTACCATTCTCTGCATGAAGTATCTGACTGAACTATTCCTTTCCTTTCTTTTTTCCTTCCTCTATTTTTTTTCATATTCCTTTTCCTTTTAGGAACTGTTTACTGTGTCTGTGTGCTACCACATCATACCTGCAAGGTCTGAGACTGATCAATGCCACCATTATAAGGATTCGTCCTTCCTTGTCAGCATGCACTCGATTACTCCTAGTTAATCCACCGTCGTGATTATATCATCAGAAAGGAAATAAAAACGCTCGCTGCAAATGATGAATGCCGTTTGCTGCAGGCGACTACGAGTACATCGACGTCGTGGTGCCGAGGGAGGAGCACGGCGCGGGCGCGGGCGCGGCCACCTCCTCCAGCAGCTCCAGGCTCGTCGTGGACACCGACTTCAGGTCCCAGTTCCAGCTCGCCAGGCCGGCGCCATGGTACGCGCAGCTCTGGGCTCGGCTGCCGGCGGTGTTCGTGGGCCCCCGTGCGAAGCTCCGGAAGGCGGTGTCCCTGCTCTGCGCAGAGGCGCAGCGGTCGCTGCGCGAGAGCGGCCTGCACGTCCCGCCGTGGCGGAGGTCCGGGTACATGCAGGCCAAGTGGCTCCCCGGCGACGTGACGCTGCCCGGCGGGGCCCCGGACGAGGTGGCGGCGGCACAGTGGTCGGTGGCGATGGCGAGGGAGCCACGCGGCGGGGCCCGGAGACCAGGCGCGGGCGGCCTCTCGATGGCGATGGCGCTGTCCGGCTCCCGCGCTGACCGCTGAGGCCAACGGCTGCCAAGGCCAAGCTGCAGGCTCCAAGTGGGCGTAGTGCTTTTTTTGTTTACCGTCGGAATCAGAATAGGCCGCAGAAACTAGCTACAGCATTTTGTGCATTGATTAGGTTAGTTCTGGTAGTAAGAACTGCTAGTAGTAGCAGCATTTTGGGATGAGCCACGGCCATGTCATGTGGTTTGTGTTTTTTTTCGTTGCGAGTTGGTTCGCCAAGCCATGGCAGACGGGCTTTGCTTCGGCGGTGGGCTAGTTTGCGAGGCTGCAGCAAGAGATCAGCAATGCAATTTGTCATTTCCTGAGAATTAAGACTTAAATCTGATCGCAACGTGTAAAATTGTCGATTCTGAATTCTGATGCTAGAAAGTCGCAATGAAATCTGGAGACTTGAAAAGGACGCCTGAGCGGTGGCACAGTCGCCGTATCTGCGCCCTGGTTTAGTTCGGCGCGGAATCGCGGAATCGGCGCCGTCAGAAAGGTCACGGCAGGCAATGACTTGTATTGAGGTAATAATTGAAACGTTGTAACAGAAACGCGTGCCCGTGAAAGTACAACTAAATTGAGCATTGTTTTGATTTGTCAACATTTGCAGCTCTGACCTACCATGAGTTTAATGTGACGGAAATCTTTAGGAAATTGGATTTGTACGGGGTCAGAAAGGTCACGGCAGGCAATGACTCCCTGAGGTGACCCGTAACAGTGCGTGTGTTGCATTGAGGCCATGTTTAGTTGCCCGTCGGATTTCCTGGCTACACAAAGTAGCGTTTTGTTTTTATTTGATAATAGTTGTTCAATCATTGACTAATTAGGTTTAAAATATTCGTCTAGTAAAGTACAACCAAATTATGTAATTAGTTTTTGATTTCGTCAATATTTAGTACTCCATGTATCACAAGTTTAGTACGACAGAAAATCTTCTTTTTCATAGTACCAAATTTAGGAATTTAGGGAACTAAGCATGCCCTGAGCATTGTATTGGCACTGCAGCTCTGACCTACGGAACAGGCTGTTTGTATTTCCCTACGGAGCATTGTATTTGGCAAAAATTTTGGATTTTGGTTCACTGTAGCATTTCGTTTGTATTTGGTAATTAGTGTCTAATTATAGACTAATTAGATTCAAAAGTTTCATCTCGCGATTTCTCATCCAACTGTGCAATTAGTTTTTTTTTTCGTCTACATCTAGTACTCTATGCATGTATCGCAAGATTTAATGTGACGGATACTGCGTAAAATTTTTTGAAATCTAAACACCCTCTAAGGACTAGTAGGAGTACTGTATACCACTAGTACTACTGGAGTACACGGGAGCTGCAATGATAGCTTAGCGACCCTGACACGTACGTTCTGTCATTACTACGCTCGTCGGAATTGGCGGAGTACTGCAGCTCTGACCTACGGAGTAAGTACTAGTAGGAGTACCGCGATGTCGCCACTCGTCGTGTCGCCGGTCACCGGAGGCCGGACGCTGCACTGGACTGCTGTCTGTGCGCATCCGGCACACGGGAGCTCCAGGGAGACGAAGAGCTCGAGAGTTTTGAACAGATCCATCATCATCCAAGGGCAAGTTTGGATGTCAAATTTTTTAAGAAAACGCTACTGTAGCGTTTTCGTTGTTATTTAACAATTAGTGTCAATCATAGTCTAATTAAGCTTAAAAGATTTATCTCGTAAATTTCGTCTAAACTGTGTAATTAGTTTTATTTTTTATTTATATTTAATGCTTCATGCATGCGTCTAAAAATTCGATTTGAAGGGAAAAGCATGACCCAACTGCATGCCTGACTGCCAGAATTGTAGTACGTGTACTTAGTATGTGCTGGTGCTGCCGCCTGCAACTGCAAGTATTGTAGAGGCCTGATGGATGGATGACGCGTTTCTGTGAGTGAGCAACACATACTGCATTCGTTTGTTAGTTCCTGCAAGGATTCAAATCAATCACCAATAGTATTTTTTGGACCAATCTATAGGCGTCACAAACAGGCCCATAAACGTCAGGCGTGGACTTTTGGACGTCTATAGGCGTAGGGCTCCAAGTCTAGCTGGTCAACCAAACAAGCTGGCCCGACACAACTTCGTTGACAAAAACGAGCAAAAATATTAGCTCCTGTGCCCGGCAGCAATGGTAGATAGAATTCTGATGGCAAAATATCAACGAGATTTTGTATATATTTTTTATATATTTTTTTTAAAAAAACACGCAACTACACCTCTCTTTCTACCAGTTTTTTTTTAAGCATCGGTGAGAGCCGAGCCATTTTTTTATTAGAATGTGAAAGACCAGGTTTGAAAGTACCTGGGTCTCATCCATGTGTGATGAACGGTTATGCGAGAGTTGAGACATATGCGACTTTTGATCGAGTTCATATATTCATATGTGCTTGATTATTCTAATATCTAAATGAGGTTGTCATATTGTGTTGTGTTGAGTAACATGTCTCTTGACTTGTGATGTGTAAGTGTTAGATGTGCCGAGGTGGTCAATGGCAAAAAGGTCAATCAACGAGATTTTGTGAACCGATAGCGGTGAATTTTAAAATTTTTTGACCGAAGAACAAAGAGGCCAACACCTCCTCTGGGCATAATTTTTCAAGACCAAAGATCCGAACGAAAGAGCCGAGCCATTTTTTTAAAAGAATGAGAAAGAAAAGTTTGATCATGAGTTCTGGGTCTGGCTCCTAACTAACGAAGTGTGATGAAGTTCGGTCATATGTGAGAGTTGAGACATATGAAGACTTTTGACTTCGTTCAGTAATGTCATGTGTGATTGTGATTATGTGCTTGAAAGTTTATGCTAGAATATCATAATAATGTGTGTTTTGTTTTATATATTGTGTTGTTATTTTTTGCCTTCAAATAGAGCATGTGTTGAAAATTGCTATAGATGTGCTATTGTTTGTGGTCAAGTTAGTTCGGTCGTGACCGAGACCGAACCAACTAACCGAGACCGAACTTCCTCGTTCTTCATTTTTGCAAAGACCTATCGGTTGAAGGGCGATGACCAAAAGATCGAGGAACCGAAGGACGGTTCGGGGTCGACCGAATGCCTGGGGTGACCAAGGCGGACCATGGGCGGCTCACATTGGACACATGAAAGAGCATGGGTACATGGATGATAAAATGGCATCGATCGAAGTTAAGGCAGGGTTGGACAAGTCAAGGCAAGGCGTCGTGAACACTTGTATCGCTAGATCGCCAGGGCATGGACATGGATGCTAGAAACACACCAACATCGATGAGTAACACCTAGTAAGAGGTGTGTTTACGAGGATTTGCCGACTTGGTCCTCAAAACTATTGAGGGATGGTTTGGTGGTTCGGGCCTCAAAACAATCGGCACTGGGTTTTGATTGGTTTGGTCCTCATATGTGAGGAGCGGCAAATCGGTGGACATATGGTGGCATCTCGAAGCTTGCGTTGAGGCGAAGCGAGGTCAAGAGCGCACCTAGTTTGTTAGACCGACGAAGGAAAACTTGGGTCGTTTTATCCTAGGGGCCGTTTGGATCCCTTCATTTTGGAGAAATTAAAATCTACAAAATAGATTAGGCTATTTGGCTTGGAATTTGACATTCCATAACTTTTCCAAGCTCACAAATAAGCCTATCTCAAATTTATAGAGTGGGAGATGGAAATGAATTTTATAGATCACTATGTTATAATTCTATTTTCAACTTATAGCACACTCTCCAACTCATTTCCCTACAATAGAAATTCAACATATAAGTAGGTCCCTTTTATGCCTAACAATAAATATACAAATATATTCCATATACAACTATATTAGCTTAATTAATCTATTTCTAAATTGTAATTATTAGAATAAATTCAATTCCAAGGATCCAAACGGCCAAGTCACAGTATATATATGATAGATGGTTGGCTTTGAGTAACAACCAAGAGGATTAGGTTCTCATTTGGAAAGAGGGAGAGAGAGGAGATGCTTTTGAATGGAGCCTTTTGCCATCTAAAATTAAAGATCGGCTAAAAGTGGCTTTGTAATCATACATCTTGAGCTAATCTAAGGATCAATTTAGTGTTTATTCTCCTCTCCCAAATCTAAAGTATGAACTCAATCATCCAATGCTACTGTATTAATGGTAGAACTCAATAATTAATTTCAACAAATATTATCATTAATCATCAAATATATCCACCACAAAAGCAACTTTAGGGTGTGAATCTTTTGTGTATCTTCTTATGATAAGATGTCATTATAATGCCAAACACAACAGGATGTGAGCGATAACACGCATTTCGGGACATAGATTTCTATATAACATACTAATAAAGCCAACAAACGACATGAACATCGTTACAAAAGCATAGGAGATATCAAATATAATACTCCCTCCATCATAGAAAGAATGTAATTTTAGATTAAGTTCGAGTTAAATTTTAACTAAATTTAAAAAATGATATCAATATTTATGACTTCAAATAGATATACTATGATTAATACATTTCACAATAAATCTAATATTTACTATGATAAATATTACTATATTTTTTAATAAATATGATTAAATTTAAGTTTGTTTGACTTAACACTATATTAAAATTGCAAGATTTATAGAGGAGGTAGTATAAGTTATATTTTTTACGCTGCAAATAGGTAATATAATATGGCTATAGTTATATGTAACATACCTTGAGAAAAATGGCTAACCAAATGTGCGATATGCCCATTGGGCTAGCTATCAATAACACCTTTGTAGGGATACTCCATTGTTAAGATTTACTAAGGTCAAGTTCTGCATTTAGATGTCTATATGACCGGTGGCGGATGCAGGATGGGAATAAAGGGGGGCTAAATAATAAAGATTTAGGGCTAGAGCTAGAAATTAATAATGATTTGAGGCTAAGTAATCGTGGTCTAATGAAGAAATCAGGGGTTATAGCCCCAGCCCCGGCAGCCCCCCTTTGATCCGCCCCTGTATACGACTTACGTTGGAACGCTCGAGTGTCGCTGATCTTCAAAGAAATTTGATGAGCTGGT